TTGTCAGTTTTATTCAGCACCTGTCTTGTTAGTGAATCTCACAGTTGATTAAAGGAGTAGGTAGCAACAGACAAAGATGACTCCCAGAGGAAAAGAATCTTAGTAGCTCAATTTATTAGGATGTTAGTGTTACACCTCTGCCAATGCAGTTCTGGATTGCTATTTATCAACCATTCCTGGCAGAATATGTCTTTCTTGCAAAACTCCCACAGAAAAGCAGAGAGGAGTTAAATATATAACTTGTGTGAGAGAAATCGGATCCCTTCAGGAAGCTCTACATGGTTCTGATATTGCCTCATTTCAGAGTGATGCCCATCATCCAGACTCCAAAGTTTGGGTGTTTCCCCAAGAGGTGCAGTGGTGCGTTTTCTCTTCCAGGGCCTAGACTGGTTTAGTGCAAAAACTCTATTTCCATGTTATCCCGACCTGTTATTTCTAAAAGGTTTCTGACCCCTGCTTTAGCAAAAAGGGGTTCTACTTCTAGTAGGATATAATAAATGGGTCTTTTCTGCCAATCTGACCTTTTCTGAAGTTCAAGGAAGTTGGGTGCTCATGGTCACAGCCCACTGCCCTATAATATTAAATGCTTCCTTTCATAAGAGCAAGAAGTGCCATACTGGGTCCAACCACTGGCCCATCTAGCCCAGTATCCTGCCTCTGACAGAGGCAGAAGTGGATGCCATATAAAGAGAGCATCAAACCAGGTATCTCTAGGGTGATATATCCCCTATGCAATATCCTCTCTGGCATCCAACATTTATGGGCATTCTGGAGGGCATTCTCCAACCATTCTGTACAATAGCCATTAATTGATGTATCATCCATGAATTAATCCAGTCCCTTTTTTAACCTGACTATGCTATCTGCCTCCACCACCTCCTACCGCAACTACACGTTATATAAAAAATTACTTTTTCTTCATGTTTATATACTGATTTGTATGAGAAAGTAAGAAAGACCAGAAGCTTTTACTCTAAGCTAGTGATTCTCAGAGTGCAAGGGCTGAGAAGTGAAGTGACGTAGGAGATAAGAAAATTAAGGCAGGCTCAGGCTCTCCCTGACCGGCCATTCCTCCACCACCAGGCCCTATCTGCAAGGAGGTATGCACTGTAATAAACAACTTAGTTATTTAAAATGGGGTATGGCTCAATTTAGAAAAGTAATGGAGGGTGCCATGAGTCTACAAAGGTAAGAACCACTGCTCTAGGCAAGGATAATCACTAGGAAACTACAACCACCTTAGAGCCTCCTGGAAACAAAAGTTAAAACCAAAAAAAGGAAACAGTCATTGTTTGCTACATCCTCATCCCATATTGCAACTATAAAAAATAATTATTTGGATTGTTTAGACTACACTTTATACCCATTTATTCCACCAATTAGGGAACTGCCATCTCCCCTGGACATTAATGTGGTACTTACAGACTTAATGAGCTTCCTATCTGAATGCCTGACATCCTGTTTCTTGTTCATTTATCTATGAAGACATCCTTTTGAGCTGCAATGACATCAGTCAAAATAAGGGGGGAAATGCAGGCTCTCACAGCTGGCTTTTCTTATGCAACACTGCAGAAGGATAAGGTCTGAGTAGGTACTCACATGCCTACAGTAATCACAGATTTTTCTTTGAGCCACATGATTCTTTAATTCATATTTCCCCCTAAACCTATATTGAGCAGGGGGTAGCTAGGCCACATACTTTAAATAGTTTTGGGGAAACTCTGAAAAAAAAATGGTTCTTTGGAAATGAAAGGATAAGGTTTTGAGACTATTAGTAACATTTGCTGACAGAATGAAAGGTTAAGTAATACCAGCCCACAGTATACCCAAGTACGTACTGGAATCCATTAGGCCCTGTGATGAGCTACCTACTTTAGATCTACCTGGTCAGCTCAGGGTTTGCTTCACCAGGGCTGAGGCAGCTTCAGTAGCTCCCTTCCAAAGCATACTCATTTGAGACATCTGCAGGGCAGCTGCTCAGGCTTCATACAATACTTGAAATAAGCCTCAAGATACAAGTGCCTTTACTGCAATATCTGCTTAAGTAGTTTCTCTACATACCGTCTTGTATTAGATTCCTGCTTGTGACATCCCAAAAGCGGAATATATAGGGACACCCACTCAAAGGAATAACAAAATTAACTTATCCCATGGTAAATGGAATCCTTTGAGATGTGTTTTTGTGTATTCTATAGCCTGCCCTCCTCATTCCTTGCTACTGTTGGTACTGCAATGGTGAAGAAACTGAGTGTTGATTGGGCCTGCACTACTCTTTATTTGCAATTGGTGGGATCAGAAGGAAACTCAGGAAATGTACACGTCCTCAAGGAAGGCTGCAGGCCAAAGGATTGTGCTCTTGAACTCCTGGGGCACCAAAAGTAAACTGCATAGACAGCACATGTCAAGGAAATCCAGGTACTTAACCTATCATTCCCCATTCGTTCCTGTTTGCTTCCTTAGAATAGATGTTAGAAGCAATTTTTTATGTAAGTACACTAAGTAATTCTGATTTATCATGACCTAGCATCCACCCTTTTCTGTTCCATTCCTGGATCACAATCCATGGATTGGCTAAAGTGTTGAAGGTAGGGAAGCATGGCTCTGAAGTGGCACTATAGCCACCTTTATCTATAGCTATTGGCCACTGCAGTATGACAACTGGCTCTTTTTTTTTAACCCTAACCCAGAGCTGAGCAATAAAGATCAGTTGCATACCAGTAAAAAAATCTGCATTGCATCTTTTTCTCCGTAAAGAGAAAAAGGAAGCATATAACAAGTACTTTATCTCATAGCAAGGGCATAAGTTTTTTAATGTCCGCTCTGATAGAGTTGGCCATTTGAAGATGTGTGTGTTAACAAGAATAATGCAAAGGCTGCAACTTTCTTATTCCCAAACCTTGTTTTCAGGCGCACTTCATACTTTCCCACCAACTCCATATTCTAGCAATTAAGAACTTGGTCTCAGCCTGGGCCAAATGTTTTTTCAAAAGCCAAACATGCCATTTATAGCCCTCTAAATTTGCTTACACGGTTCTCTAGGGGGAAGATGTAGTTGGTTTGTTTTCAGATTTGATATCCCTTTTTTTCAGCATATTGACTGTCTTGGTGTTTCCTGTTTTGATGTTGCTATGGTATGATGTTACTGCTAATGGATCCATGGGCAATTGCTAAGTAACTTTCGATTGGGGGTTTGGGATCCTTCCAGGAAGGACAGAAACAACCATGAGTTGCTAGAACGGGAGGTTCTGCTGATTTTTCTCTCACAGCCTGATATTTTTCTGTCAGGGGAGTGGTGTCTGGTCCTGGGCCTTGCATTTAGCATTTTTATTGTATGGCACACTCTGCGGGACGAAGCATGTTAGCATTGGCTGCCTTGGTGACCCAGGCAAGGAACCAGCAGGCCCAACAGTTCTCAACCATTTCCGCACAAGACACCCTCTCTAGGCTCAGGGCGTCCCTCGGCAACGCAACGCCAGCTTGCAGCTTTCATTCCTTTCCTGATTGCAGAAACACAGGAGAGTGATACTTCTGTGGCAAAGAACAGAGGCCACAACCGAGCAGCCTCGCCCTGCGGTGCCTGGCTAGGTTGTCCCAGGTGCCACAGGGCGAGATATGCACACATCTCCTAGACTTTGCAAGGATTTCACGCAGGGGAACCCCCGCACTGAGAGGGGCCATGAGGGAGCTGCCCACACTTAACACTTTGTTTTTTAAGGAAAAATGTTCATGCTCCAAGCCAAATCGATTCCAAATCCGTGAGTCATTCAAGAATCAAACGTGGCACTGCTCCACCCCTGCCCGGGGCTCCAGATGCTTCTCAATCCTTTGATGGGCATCCTCTGTGCAGGCCTGGCAGCTTGGGGTTCAGGTGCCCCCAAGTTCCCCTTGCCCTCGGGGGTATGGCTGCAGGAGCACGTGCAGGAGGAGTCGGCATGTAGCCAAGATCTGCCCGCTGGATTATCTCCATCAGGATACTACCCCCTGCCAAGAAAGTGGTTTTCCCCTACAACTAGGAAAACCACCTTCATGGTTATGGTATTCCCCTGCCAGGTAAGTACGGGGGGCTTCCCCGTGTGAAAGCCTCGCCCTGTGGCACCCCGTGGCACGTTGGACAGACACCCGAGCGTGAGACTGCTGCGCTGGCCACCACGGCTGCTACACAGGCGCAGGGGGCACCACGTGAGTAGCCGAGGGGCACTGGGCGAGTCCACGGCAGGAAGCCGGGAGCCGCGCAACTTCCCTCCCGTGTGTGTGCAATGCAGCGCTCCACCTACTTCTGCCCCCTCCCCTTTCGCACTTGGAACAGCCCGTCCTATGCAAAAGCCTCGTTCTCGCTTCCCCTCCTCCGCGGGCACCAGGCGCTGCACCCCCAACCTCCACAATCTCCAACGGCTCCATTTTGTCCCCGGGCGCGCTCCGTAGCGCGTGCGGTGGCCCCTCCCTCTGCTGCTGCCCGGCGCGGCGGTAGCGGGAGGACAGGCACACACACACGCACGCACGCACGCACGTACGCACACGGGCGGGGACACGCACGCACGCACGGCGGCTCGGAGGCGCCATGGCGGCCGCTTGCAGCGACATGGCGGAGCTGGAGGGGCTGCTGCCCGGCCAGGCGGCTGAGGAGGAGGCCGGGGCGGAGGCCGGCGGCGGGGCTGGGGTCGGAGCGGGC